ACTGAGTGATCCTCCAAGGTAATCACAGCAATCATGAAGAAGCAGCAGGAGCAATAAGCATGAAAGAGAGGGCAGTCAGGGATTTGAATATGGTAAATTGTCCATGCCCTCAAGTTGGGTTTTTTTTACTGCAGCATTGGAGGAGTCCCTCAGAATAACACTGTCTGCACACCTCTGCATTGTGCAAGTGCTGGAAAAAGTTGTATACACAGCAGCAGATGAATCACAGATAAATGCAGTCAGCTCTTTGGAAGAGCCAGGTAGATACCTGTCTAAACGTACCTCTTTCCAATCAGATATGGTATACCTAGAATGTTTGCAATAGATAAATTTACTGTGAAATTTAAATATAAAAAATATGGATAATAAACCAATGCAGTAATAAATTATACAATGCTGTTTAATATGCTTAATTTGTTAAATAATAAGTGATTAGGTTTTCTGTAACAATTGCCATTTTTACTCTAGGATATACAATAAATTAGGCTGCAAACCTATGATTTCACATAATTAGTTCTTATGTAAAGAGCTTTTGTTTCAGTTTAACCACGGTTTGATTTTCAGACAATGACATTTCATAAAGGCAAATTAAAATAGAATAGAATAGAATAGAATAGAATAGAGCAATTTCAGTTGGAAGGGACCTACAGTGATCATCTATTCCAACTACCTGACTACTTTAGGGCTGAACAAAAACTAAAGCATGCTGTTAAGAGCATTGCCCAAATGCATCTTAAACAGCGACAGGCTTAAGGAATTGGCCACCTCTCTAGGAACCCTTTTCCAGAGTTTGACCACCCTTTTGATAAATGCTTCATAACATCAACTCTAGACCTGCTCATTTGTAAAATATCATTTCAATATTTATTTTAAAAGTAACTGTGAAACAAGAAAAGAAGATCCAAAGAAGCAAAATTAAGGTTAAAGCCTTTAACCATTCTGCTAAAAAGTATGCTACATTCACAGTCCTTAAAATCAAAGAATGGTAAAAGATTCCTCCAGTAATGAAGTAAAATAAAATAAGCTAGTGGTAAAATGGTCATTAAATTAAGAGTAAAGGTATGACACTTCTATGTACACACTGTTGGGTGCAGTGAAAGACATGAAAATAACCTGAGAAGACATTCATATGATGTTGTTTAGGCAGACTAAGTTTGGTTAAAGTGTTTCTTACTTTTCTCCTTTACACTATTTTCCTGATTTTTTGGTTTTAATGGAAATGTTTATGTTTTTTCTTCCATTCCATTGTTTTCCTGAAATTTTGTAAGGTGGATGAATCACCAGTTTTTCAAACAAAATCAGGGGTGCACATTACAAATAGTGGTTTTAAGTACAGCCTAATATTTCTGTCCTGTGTTTCCATACAGAAAAATGCTGTAATTACATCTCTGATTCTTATTAAATCAATCATCATTTTTGGTTGACATTGTACTGTGTATTTTATATTCATATAGAATTGAGACAGAAGTCCATTTCAGGTGTGCTGAGTACAGGTCTTTGTGATGGTTACAACTTTAAGGATGAATTTCAGAGCTCTCTCCTGATCTGCTTTATAGAGAAGGTTTATAGTAAGTATATTCTAAGATGAATATTTCTTTAAAATAGAGTAGAAAATTAATTCTTTTTAGAATATAAATTCAAATAGCTTGTGAAGTTACTTCACATGACTGGCTAATGCACTCCAAGCAACCAAAATGCAGTAGCTATGAAGCATTAAGCTGTTGTATTTAGAGGCATATAATCATAGAAAAATAAATAGATTATAAATAACAAGGAAGTAGGCTAACAGGATAGCTACTTCAAAGAATGCATCTCTCTTGCATCTCTGTAAGTGCCTTAACCTGTAAAGCTATGAAAGTTACCAAATATATCCAGACACAGGACTGTCCAGAATTAGCAATGCTGTTAATCTGCTATTTCGTTGACAATCAAGCTTACTCTGTTAAAAATATAAAAACTGCAAAATATAAAAACTGCTGACAAAAGTCTGTTTTAATTATGCATATTTTTTAGGAGACATATAACTTGGATTTTCTTTCAAGATTAATGAAGCTCAGTGAAAGGAACTGAGAACTGATGTTTTTGTTATCTCCAACTCTCTGGATAACTGTTCCATTGAAAGTCCACATTGCTCAGAACACAGTGAAGCCAGCACTTTCAAAAAATTCCATTCCAAATTTTTGTAGGTGCATCCAAGATTTTCACCAAACCTATAGCACGAATTCCACACTTCCAAAACTAAAAAGTGCCAGAATTTGTGTGATTTGTTTCTTCCAACTTCTACCAGGTAACAAGATTAGGGTCCACTATGCACTGAGCGTAAATAGTAAATAAGGGACATAAACAGACTTTAGGAATACAGAACAGAAGTGCCATTAATATATGTCAATGTAAGTATATGAACAAAGATAAGTATGTGAATATCAGTTGCACAACCAACACCACTAGATTCTCCAGAATAATATGGCATATTTTCCAGGCATAGAGGTGATGAATGGGTGCTGCAGTTATTTGTCAGTCAGCAGAGGTATGGGAGGCCGGAATTAAAGGTGTGAATTTGAAACAGGAAGAACAAAGGGAAAGA